AGGGGAGGACTGTGAAGGTGACCATAGTGATATTCAGCAGTGAGGTATGGAGCACTTCTTTTTCTAGGATGAGTTCACAAACTTCATTGTCCAACCTCATAATAAAACACTACCAATTAATTCAATTCAATAAATATTTAAGTAGTACTTTAGACAAGTCTTATTCTAGATCCCGGAGGGCATACAGAGATTTAAAATGGAGTTCGTTCCCTTAGTCTCTTAGCATCTTAATAGAGCAGTTTGTAAAATAATAAACGTGACTATAATGTAAGGCAGCATGTGACAGGCAATGTGATTTGTTATATAAAGGGACAGAGACGTTGGGAGGGGATTAACTCTGGTCAAGGTACTCAGAGACAGCTTTTGGCAATGGCACTTTAGCTAAGTTTTAAAGAAAATACTAGTTTTTCTTTTTTTCCCCAAATATTAGAAATTTAAGCATGAGAGAAAACCAAGAAGCATCGGGAAAATGTTGATAATGTTAACTAATTAAAAAATTGGCTGGGCACAGTGGCTCACACCTGTAATCCTAGCATTTTGGGAGACTGAGGCAAGAGGATCACTTGAGTATAGGAGTTTGAGACCAGCCTGAGCAAAATAAGAAGACCCTATCTCTACCCCCACCCCCCAAAAAAAAAACCAGTAAAAAAACACACCACCAAAATTGGCCAGGTGTGGTGGTGCATGCCTGTAGTCCTAGCTCCTGGGGAGGCTGAGGCAGGAGGATTGCTGGAACCCAGGAGTTTGAGGTTGCAGTGAACTACGATCATGCCATTGCTCTCATGCCTCGGCAATAAAGTTAGACCAAACAGCCCGGCAGGGCAGAGCTGCGCACCCATCTGCCAGTAATGCAGTATGCATCTTCGACCCCTGTCCTGCAAGCAAGGTCAATGCCTCTGGCCCAGGTATTGATCTCTCACCCCACTGGTTTCTCGATAAGGACAATCCATAGCGGAGGGGCAGATTTAATAATTCAATGTTAAGTGATGTTTCCTGAAGTAAGTGATGGAGTGCAAGACTCCCCATCCCCAGTCTGCAACAGACCTTCCTTTTGCCCTGCTACTGAGCTGTGGTCTTAGCTTTCTAGGATAGGCTGAATAAACCACTTCAGCAGGAGCCTCTGATGTTGGTATCTTATCTTTTTTCATGGACTGGTCATAAGAAATACCCATTTTCTGGGTGGCACCTGTAGCTCAGTGAGTAGGGCGCCATCCCCATACTGAGGGTGGCAGGTTTGAAGCTGGCCCTGGCTGAACTGCAACAAAAAAATAGCTGGGTGCCTGTATTCCCAGCTACTCAGGAGGCTGAGGCAAGAGAATTGCCTAAGCCCAGGAGCTGGAGGTTGCTGTGAGCTGTGATGTCATAGCACTCTACCGAGGACAACAAAGTGAGACTCTGTCTCTAAAAAAAAAAAAAAAGAAATACCCATTTTCCTGCCTACAGGGCACAAGTCTGGCCATACATGTTCTGAGAATCTAGGA